AGGAAGAATTGGATATAAAGATTATAGCCTTTTCCTTATTCAATGGGAAGTCCTTGGGTAGCTTCCCTTCCCCTCTTTGGATGTCACCAGCCCTGGGCTTGAGAGATCATCCAACTTGGTGTTCCCCCAATTTTGACGGGTGGCCAACCTCTCTGATATGAGTCCCATTTTTCATGGGGATTAGGTACTAGAATATGAAAAGCAAGGCTAAAAATAAATCCAGTAAATCTAAATTGTCCTGGAAAATGTCTTAAATTTTCCATTTAGCATAAATGATATTTGAGAACTGAACTTGGTGTGTGTACACATATATGTAATGGGTAATGTGTGCAATTATAGGAGATACAAAAGAAGATAAAATTTGGTAGTATTTTTGATTGTGAAAAAATATAACTTTTTTTTCTGAGCTTGTATAGTTGAATTTTATAGTACATTTTGCTCTTTATGTAAGAGCATATCATTGCTTTCTGCTAATTCTCCTACCTGAGGCCCAGGGGATGATCATAGCTCAAGGAGGTTTGTGAATTTCCTTCCCCTAGAGAAAATATACCAAGTGACAGGAAAGAGATTCTGCATATATTTTTTTCATAATGATTGCAATAAAGGACTTTGTGGTAACAGTGTCGATTTAATGGAACTAGGCTATGTGGGACTTTGAAGTCATCTCAAAGTTAGCAAAAATTCTGTCTTTTCTTCAAGTTAAGTAAAAGACAGTGCTGCAGGCACAGTGGCACACACCTATAATCTCAATACTCTGAAATATGAGACAGGAAGATCACATATTCCAGGCCAGCCTCAGCAACTTTGCAAGACCCTATTTCAAAATAAAAAATAAAAAGAATAGGGGAATGTGGCTTAGTGGTGAAGTGCCCCTGGGTGCACTCCCTAGTGCGCATGCGTGTACACACACACACACACACACACACACACACACACACACCACTGCTGACAGATAACAAACACTATGGCATAATAATCAAGTCTGGAGAATTCTACTTCCTTAAATATCATTCAGCTGTGGCATAATCAAGTTTGGAGGCATCTACTTCCTTAAATGTCTTTCAGCTGTGACTTGCTTAAAGTCACTAACTTCACATATCACATTTCAAGCAAGTCACATCTAACCACCTGTGACAGAGACACCACTTGGTGAATTAGGAGGACTCTTAAAACTTGGGAAGAATGGTTTTTGTTATTTGAGAGAGCAGCTCTGGGAGCTCACAGGTCTCCCCTGTGGGAACTCTTATAAGCATTAGGGGGAACGGAGGACCCTATTGAGCCAGATTGTCTCATTCTTCTGTAGATGTGAACTCCCCACATTACATGTTACACTTTACTTATCCTCAAGCTCTTTGTTTTTATATCACTTTTTCTCTTCTTTGCTAACATCAGTGAACCCTTGCACAACAAGGTCATTGGATCTGGAAGTCATTGCCAGGCATAACCATTGCTCCATTTAGGTTTATAACCCTATTGCTCTTTATCCCATGGCCATGTTCTATCTCTCCTCATAAAATTTACTGTGTGCTGGGCTGGGGATGTGGCTCAGTGGTAGAGAATTTGCTCAACATGCATGAGGCCCTGGGTTTGAGCTCCAGCACTGTAAAATAAATAAACAAAATAAATAAATAAAACATTTACTATGTGTTACCTGATTTTAAAACGACATCTATATTGAGACATAATCCATATACTGTATAATTTGCCACAACCTAATTTTAGAACATTTTATCTATGTGCCCCCTCCACCATTTTTTTTTTTTTTTTTTTTGCAGTGCCAGGGCTCAAACTTATGGCCTTGAGGATACAAGGCATGTACTCTACCACTTGAGTCACCAGCTTAGGACATTTTAATCACCTGCCGCCCCCCCGCAAGGAAATTCCGTACCCATGAACATAAACTCCTTACTCCACCTTTCATCAGAGGGGCCATACCATCTATTCTGTCTCCGTTTCCATCATTTCAGATAAATGGAGTAACTCAGTATATGAGTCCTTACGCTTTCTTATTTTTTCAATTTATGTAAAGTGTTCAAGGTTTAACCATATTATAACACATATAGATACTTTTTTTCCCACCTGTGGTACTGGAGATTGAACCCAGGGTCTTATGCATGCTAGGCAAGTGCTCTACCTCTGAGCTACATCTCTAATCCTTTTTTGGGTGGTGGTGGTGGTGGTAAAAGCGATTGAATTCAGGGGCACTAGACCACTAAGCGACATCCCTAGCCGTATTTTGTATTAGTGCCTTGCTTTTGCTGAGGCTGTTTTTCAGCTAGTGATCTTCCTGCCTCAGCATCCGGAGGAGACTCTGGGATCACAGACTTGTGCCACTGTGCCCAGCCTTTAGTCCGTTTTTAATTTTATTTTTGAGAGAGTCTTGCTAAATTGCTGAGGCTAGCTTTGAACCTTGAACCTGTGAACTTGTGATTCTCTTACAGGAATAACACACATGTGGTTTTGTTGTTGTTGTTTTGCTTCATTTTTATGGGATAGAGTCTCATTATGATCCCAGCTGGCCTCAAACTCCTGGACTCAAGTGATCCTTCCACCTCAGCCTTCTGAGTATACAAGATTACAGGTGAGTACCACTCTGCCTCCTTCATTTCTCTTTATTGTGACATAATATTCCATCATGTGAAGAACACTGTTTTAGTCAGCTTTTTTGTCTTTTGTGATCAAAGTTCAGATAAATACAACATAGAAGAAGAAAAGTTTATTTGGGGCTCACAGTTGCAGAGGTCTCAGTCCATAGATGACCCTAGGTAAAGGAGAACATTACAGTGGAAGAGTGAGGTAGAGGAAAGCAGCTCAGGACATGGTCGCCAGGAGGCAGAGAGAGAATTTAGCTCACTAGGGACAAAAATATAAATCCCAACAGCATGCCCCCAGAGACCTACCCGCTTTGGCCACACCCTACCTGCCTGCCTGCAGTTACCACCAAGTTAATATATTTAAGTGGATTAATGCACTGATTAGGTTAAGGCTCTTATAGTCCAATCATTTCACCTCTAAGTGGTGGTCTCCTCCTCCTCCTCCTCCTCCTCCTCCTCCTCCTCCTCCTCCTCTTCTTCTTCCAGGAATTGGTACAAAACGTGCATTTAGCCACTGAGCCACATCCCCAGCCCATTTTATTTTTTATTTTGAGACAGGGTCTTGCCAAGTTACTTAGGGCCTCCCTAAATTGCTGAGGCTGCTTTTGAACTTGCAATCCTCCTGCCTTAGGCTGCTTTTGAACTTGCAATACTCCCTGTAGTCACTGGGATTATAGGCCTGCATCACCATACCTGACTCACCTCTAAACTTTATTGCATTGTCTCACATAGGAGCTTTTGGGGTATACCTCATATCTAAATAATAACATATACCACACTTTTTTTTTAAAAAAATCTACTCATTAGTTGATGTACATTTTGCTACCTGATTTAAAGTTTATTTTCTATTTCCCATGCTATAAGTTCCTTGAGGGTAAGAATTTTTGTTGTTGTTGTTGTACACCACTCTGTCCCTAACAGATTGCAGAGTGTCTGGCACATAGAAATAACTTAATATATTTTTCAAATACATAATGCAATCATTCATTTATCTAACCAGCAGTTGTTATGCACCCATACATTTGTATTCAACATTCATGTGTTTCTAAGGCGTGGAAGATGACCACCACACAGGACCTGCTCTTAAGAATTTCATGATTAGTTGGGTGCAGTGGCACATGCCTATAATCACAGCAACTCAGGAGGCTGAGGGAGGAGGATCATGAGTTCAAAGCCAGCTTCAGCAACTTAAGGAGGCCCTAAGTAACTTAGTGAGACTCTGTCTAAAAATAAAATATAAAAAGGGCTGGGGACATGGCTCAGTGGTTAAATGTCTCTGGGTTCAACTCCTAGTACCAAAAAAAAAAAAAAAAGAAGAAGAAAAGAAAAGAAAAACCTCATGATCTACTGAAATAACATCTCTGCAAACAAATAATTGAAGCAGTATGAAGAACATGGGTTTGGGGCTGAGGATGTAGGTCAGTGGTAGAACTCTTGCCTCACAGGCACAATTTCTCTGGGTTTCATCTCCAGCATTGCAAAACAAAGAATGAAAGAAAGAAAAAATGGAACAAAATGTAGTGCATATACAAAGAGCCCAATTCTGTTTGAGGGAGTTAGCAACAGCTTCAAAGACTTCAGTTCAGATTTATAAAAGTGGGAACTTGCCAATTGACAGAGAGGAAGTTGGAGGCAACTGCAAAGGGCCCTTAAGCAAAAATCAGGGAGCCTGGCCACAGGCGGGGACACAGAAAAACAGCTTTTGGGGAGCTTTCGCGTCCAGGTTGGGCAAGAACTTAGGGGGATGGCCTGGACTGGCAGGCACTTTCATATCAGAAAAAAACAAAAAACTGTGTATAAATAACAGGATTTAAAAATTGTTTCCTAGGTACAGAAGGAACTGGCAAAAATGGTTTTATCTGAGGGTAGAGCTGGGGACTGGAGTAGGAGGTGGGGGAAAGACATTGGCAAACTTAAAAAACAAGGCACATGCTCTTTACTATTCAGAATACATTTAAAACTTTTTGCTTTACACAGCGGCTTATCACTGTGTAATTTTGAGCAGGGGGGTGCTGTGACCATATCAACATGCAGGATAGTTTCTTTGGGGAAAGTAAGAAATTAGGTGGGCAGAGGTTTAGAGGCTCTAAGGGGGTGATGGAGGGAATGGCAATTAAATTCGATCTCTGATCGGTTTCTCTCCTCTTTCTTTCTGAGGTGCCCATCTCCACACTCGCATACACACTCACTCGCCTCACTTCTAAGTGATGGGATCCTGGTGAGAGAGTGAGCCTTGAGCTGGCTCTGGGCAGGGCGCCGGCTAGGACCTTGGTGCTGGGAGAGACTCCACCATCTGGGGGCGGTCTGGGGGAAACAGTCTTCCTGCTGATGCAATCAGCGCAGAGAGGGCTGGAGGGCTCCATCTCCGCTGCCGCCAGGCCAGTCTGCCATCCCGCCAGCCACGTGTGACCGCCGCCGCCCCAGACGCTTCCCTAGTCGCGCAAGCAGCCGGACGGCTCGGTGCAGTCGCCCACCTGGACCACGCAGCCAGGGGCTAGGACACGTGGGATTCACCCTCCGCCCAACTCGAGCTACGCTCACAGCCAACAGAACAATGAAGGTAACGACTCCTGATTTTGTCTGTATTTGACAAAAATGTGTCCTAAGAATCGAACCATCCATCGATTTTTCAAAGGACACTGTTGACAGAAGAGGGAGGAAAGAAGGACTTTGTGTTATCTTTTTTTGTCAGTCACAGTTTGTTGGGACCTTCCATTCTGCTTAGACTTTTTAACCTCCGCTTGCAAGACGTGCCTTTTTGGGGCTTTTTCAAAGCTGCATTTGTGAACCGGGATACCAGGCGGCTCAGAGCTCTTTCTTCTCGCAGCTCCCTCTTCTGCTTGTTTCGAAGTTTGGAAAGAAAGAGGAAACTGTTCTTAAATTTTTAAGATGTGCTGGGGATGGGGGATTTGAAGAGGGTGTTTAGAGGGGGTGTCCCTGGCTGCAAACGGGCTTTTCTGTTGGGTGTGTGTAATGAAAGAGAAAGTTGTGGGAGGAAAAACCCTCTGGCTTAGGTGCTAAATGCAGAAGACTCTTTTAAAAATGTTTCCTGTGGCAGCTTCTATGTGTTTCAAATCATATAAGCCTAAGGTACATTTATTAAAGGATTGAGCACCCTAATGGCTTGTATTCTTATGCTAATCTAAGATAATTAGCCTAGCCTTAATTACTTCTGAAGTTTTCAGTGTAGAGATGTACACAGCTAAATGTTCTGTTTCCTGGACTCACAGACTGGAAAAGCTGCAATAAGGTGAACACCAAAAAAAGCAGCTGGTTTTTCAAAGGAAAACGAAGTCCGGGCAAGTAGTGCTGCCATCTAGCATCTTAAAATTGAGAAATTCCTTTAATGCAACCAGAATTCTTGGAAGAAATAAGCCACGTTTCATTTTCGAAGCAGGGAGATGAAGTGCATTTCATTCAGAAGAAGTCATAGACAAATGGTGCTTTTTTCATCAGATAACAATTCCCACCACAACTGAGCAGTAAACAAGTGGAAACTCTACTAAGTGTTGTATTAAAAGGATTATGGAAATGAACCTCAGTGAAAAGTCTAGCATTCTTATTTTCCTATACATATGCTGTTTGTGGCTTGCTCATGTCTGCTTAAGTTTAGCAGAAAAAACAACTCGGATTCAGTATCGCTTTAGTGATAAAAGGAGAAGTTTTTGAGATTCAGTCTTGCTTTTCCAGCATTTCCCTGTTCTGAGTGAAGCTGTAGTTGGTTATGTATTTGTTTCTGGATCCTTTAACATGAATCTAAAAGCCCTTATCCCTTTTACAAGGCACTTTTGTAACATGGGAAACTAGAAGGTATCTTCAAATAGTCTCATCTGTTTCCTGATGTTTGCTAAGATTAGGAAAGAATTAGTTTTATTCTAGTATGATCTAAGGAATACATGAGGTTCCTTTGTTTTATTATTTCAAGATCTTTCTACTTACTATTGATTACTAGAGGTTGGGAAAGATGGCAGGGAGGAGGTAGAAAAGAGAAGTTGGGTTCAATCAGTGCATGCTGTATGCATGCATGGAACTTTCATGAGCCCATTAATATGTGTTAATAAAAATATTTTTAAGAACTTTTCTAGTTATTTCTTACTTATACATGGCTATGATAGTCTGTGTTTTTAAAAAATGTTTGTGCACAGCACCATGATTGATTGACCTCAGCAAATTCTCCAGCCATGAAGTTTGGGAGCTTGTATTTTAAGATGAGGAGCACATACAGAATAAGCAACTGAATAAGAAACATAGCATATAAGTTGAATAATGTGTATAAAAATTTTATGATTTAAGGAATGAAAGTGGAGATGTAAGAGATACCCATATCTGAAATGGATGGAGACAGGGAAGTCGAGGGTTGGGGTAGGGGTGAGTGATAAGTATGGTTAACAGAGAGAAGGGGGAATCTTAATCTTTTGATGCAGTGCTGTCCCTGTGTGTTGGGGGGTTGGTTGGAGGCCTGCTGGGCAGAGATCTTTACATTTCCATGTGGCCCCTGAGGCAGGGCTCAGAGCTGCAAAGCTAGTTAAGCAGGCCTAACAAAAGGATGGAATCTGGGGAGGATAGGAAAATTGTGAGAGTGGGTGTCGGGGAGCAGACAAAAATGTAATCTCAGCCAACATTTCATCTGGTGAGTTTTAATAATGAGTAACTTCATCTGATTTTAGAACTGTAGAAACAAAGGCGAATTTTAAAGATTTTTCATGTGAATGCAAGAAATTATCATGCTCATCAGTTCATTAGAACCTGAGAAGGTCTAATTATTTGAAATGATTTGAAAATCTTTTTAAAGGAATTTTAAAACTTCATTTGACCCTAACAGATGTGTGTGCTAAGAACTAAGTGATGGTTTTCTACAGCGCCATGACTCTCCCAATTTTCCATAATTACAGATTTTGTTTCTCATTTGTCACATCTATAAATAAAAGTAGGGAAGTGAGTGGCTGGAAAGCTAATGGTAGTATTATTAACCCCAGAGAGTTGAGCTTATAAGTAAATTATTTCTGTACATAAATGAATATTTAATTCTAAACTGTAATCATCTGAAGTTGTTTAGGTTTGTTATCTATTTGGGGATTTCAGGTTGTGGGCTTCTTTAAATGCACTTTTCTTAATTGGTATAGAAAGATGCAGATCTTTCTCTATTTCTCTTTAGGCTTGGTAACTACAGTTGTTTTCAATAACAGATACGACCCCAGGGAATCCATTGGAATGTTCAGCCTATGCTGAAGAGGGTGAGAATCTGAGACCTTCTGTGGTAGACATCATTGTTCAGCAGTCTTCTACTTTCTATATAATTCTCTTATTCTTTTTGAGCATGGGAGGAAATGGTAGCTGATCTGTTCATTTGACAGTTGTAAATATGTGCCCCCTTTGTGTGTAACTTATACCCTGAACAGCTGTCCAAATGCTCTAAACATTTCACTTAACAAATGTTCCTGCTGCTGAGCTTTACTGATCCTCTGTAGCCATTTGGTAAAGCATGCCAGTGTCCATTCAACCACAGCCACTGAAATTGATTCTCTGTAAATCAACTGAGTCATAAATGTGAGGTGCAGTTCAGATTTTAAAATGTTTCAAAATTAAGCGCTTGGGATACTTTGGATTAAGCACTTGGGATACTTTGGATCGGAAACATAACTTAGCAAATGTTTTCAGTCATTTTCATTGTAACACCTGGTCAGTGATTCACAATGTCAATGGTGAATGTAAAATCAAAGCAGAAGCAGTCTTCTATAACACCAAGGTTCAAGTACTAATTTTATCTACTGCATATAATTAGTTCTCTTAAATCCACAAAGCTAAATTATATTATCTCTAGAAATTGCATACTTTATCCTTAAAGTTACTTAGAAATTAGATCACCTTATTAATAACAGCAAAGCATATCACACAAACATTTTTCTATTACCATATATGCCACTACATTTTTTTTCCAAAACATTTTTTTTTTTTTTGTATTCACCAATTAATAGGAAAGAAAAAAAATCTTAAAGAAAAAAGATTCCAAAAATACAGAATGGTCAAGAAGAATGAAAGAAAAGAAGACAAGTTAAAAAAAAAGAAGAAGAGGAAATGACATTTTGATAGCAATAATTTGAACTAAAAAAGCCATATGGTGCTTTGAAATTGAAGAATTGTGAAATTCTTGTAAAACTCAGCTTAGTGTCATTAAAAATTGTCCTATAATCTATCTGAAATGAGCTAAATTTATTTGTTAGTTCTTCATTTTGAAGTGTAGGTCTAAATATTTTATCAGTTGCATTTATAGCCTATCATGTAAAGATATGCTTTTGCTATTTTGACTATAGATGGTTATCTACTCAGAAAGTATTAAGAAGTTTCAGGCATAGGGTTAGAGTTCAGATTCTAACTCCTTATAAGTCTAGACAGAAGGAGAACACCTGTTGCGATGTTCTAGACCAAGCATGCCACAGCTGTCTTATGCTTGACTGACAAAGAGATAGGGCTGAGATGCACTTGGAATGAGGCCAACGGTAGCTTTGCATGGGAGGAACACAGGGAAGTTTTAACATTCCACCACTCCATAGAAGGGTGACTTTGCTAAGTGCATTTCATCTCATTTTTAACTGATTGAGATACAATGTTATAGTGTTTTGATTTTAGTACTGGATGTTAGTTCAGGAATTTGAAATCATAATAAATGTATCTGTGAACTTTAAAGATAGAAGGCAGAGTTAAAATAGACCTGCAATTTTCGCTTAAGGAGGCACGATATATTACTCAAGGATCCCCTGGTTTTTAGTGTTAGTGAATGTTTTCTCCTTACAAGGTTTTGTGCTGGTACTTATAGAGGAAGGTCACTCAGGCTTGAGGAAGGACTCCTTTGCTTAACAAAGAAAGCAATGCTTTATAATTTCTTAAATACCATCAAACTACTTAACATGGAATTCTAACCTCAAAACATTCATATGAGGAAATCATTGCAGAAATTATTAACCTTGTTTTCCAGATGAAAAAATTAAAGATCAGGAAGGTTACCACAATTACTTAAGAGCACAAATGGCAGAGCATGATGGGAAACTAGATACTCCGAGCCATGTCTGAATATCCAGGGTGCCCTCCAGTGCTCTGCAGGGTGCTGTCTATCCTTCTGTGGTTCTAGCCTTTCTTGGGTTTCATACAACTTGGCAAATCTTTTGAGAGTATGGTCAATCTTTCCAGCAAAATGAGCAAACACATACAAGCACAAAATTTTATACCTAAAACATCTGTTATTAAAACCAGGAAACTCGGGTCCATCAAGCATGGAAGAGTTATGGAAAATATTGAACTGATCTAATTATTCACAGTTGTGGAGAGCTACCAGTTCTGGCCTCTGCAATTAGGAGAGATACAACAATTCATAAACAAGAACTCTACACTGGTGCTGAAAGTTGAAAAAGTCAAAGCATTGGACTAAATCCTTTATTCTAAAGAGAAGGCAACCGTAGTTTGGTTTTTACAGCACACGAGTCATCAGCTTCATGTTTTTTTCTCATAAAGATGTAAGGTCCATAATTATAGAGTAAAACTGGATTCTCAGAATCTGTACCCACA